GTAGTAATCTGCTTTTATGTCACCACTGATGAATTTGTGTTCTTTAAAATGTCCCTCATGCTGGACATGGTGGCACAGATCTGTAATCCCAGTTACTTGGAAGGTAAAGATAGAAGGGTCACAGTTGGTGGCCAACCTACTCAAAAGATAATGAGAACCTATCTCAAAAATAAGCTAGGCATGGTGGTATATGTGGGAGGCAGAAGCAGGAGAAAAGTTAGCTCAAAACCTTATCTTAAAGACTGGGAGCATGGCTCGAGTGATAACACACTTGTCTGGCAAGTGCCAGGCCCTGAGTTCAATCCCCAGTACCAAAACTTCATGCAAATTGAAATCATACAGTAGCTACTTTTTGGAGGGCTTTTTCCCCCCAGTTGATTATTATCAAATTCATTCATATTGTTTTCTTTCATTGCTGACTGGCAACCCACTGTACTGAACCTATCACAGTTTACTTGTTAACTTTACCTGTTGACATGCATTTGGGTTCTCAGTATTTTCCTATTATACATGAAGCTGATATGAACATTCATGAGTGCATCTGCATATGCACATATGCTTTTATTACTTATTTCAGAATCAAATCTTTGGTCGTACATATTTTAAAATATTTTCTCCCAGTATAGTTTGCCTTTTTTCAGTTTTGTAAAAGTGGCATTAGATTTATGAAATCTAATTTGTTGCTTGTTGCTCCCTTTTGTTTTTTGCATCTATCAGTCATGGATTTTGTGTCAAACTCAGGATTCTTATCTTCTTCTAAAAATTTTTTATAATCTTAGTTTTTATATTTAGGATTAGGACCCATCTCAAGTTAATTTTTGTATAACATGTTATGGATTCATTAACAGTTTTATACATGGTTTGGAGTATCATAAAAACACTTATAAATAAGTATCAATATAAACTGTTTTACATAGTATAGTACCACTTGTCACTCATGTTGTAACAAAAATCAATGAGAAAAACCCAAGATCAAAAGAAAGAATAGACAGAAATGTACTGAAACATTTTAAGTGCTATTTGTAAATAATATGACCATTACCTATTTCCTGTTTCATTTTACTTTTCTAATTTTTAATATTTTCTATAATAAGCACCAACTATCCTTATAGCAAAATAGACTGGGATTTTTTTAAAGTGACTTAAAAGAAGACTTCCTGACTTCAGGTTGCCTTCACACTGCTCTTTGCCATATAAATGGCCTCCTGAAGACCTGGAGTGTGAGCACACCACCATGCATCCATCTCCTCCCAGCCCCACTCAATATTGCTTAACAGCAGGAAGATGTGGAACAGACAATTTTTGAGGAGTTCTCAAAAAGGACTATGAATTCAGTTGAAACCTCTGGATGAAACCAAATACAAACCCAAAGACAAATAGCACCCTAATCAAAGAGAAAAATTCCAGAAGGGTGAGGCCTGGTTGCCTTGCTTGCACCCATCCCTAATCAAAACTACTTGGTCGATCCTGAAACACTGCAGTCACAGCTGTGTGAGCCCAACAGCCTCTCATTCAACTCAATCTCTGCGGGCAAGTGAAGCTAATGAAATTCTCTTGCTGACGTGCTCACTGTCCTTCTGCCTTGATCACTTGCAAAGACAGCCCAACTCTAGATCTTCATCTAAGGCTGGCCCAGCCGCCTCTCCATCTGTGCACACTCCTGACTGTCTGCAGGGTGGGATTAGCTCCTTGAGCTGTTGCAGAGAGGATGGCTTGCAGATGTTTTGCAGAAAGAAAGACAACTTCCCTGATTGATAAATAAATAGAGTCGTCAACACAATCTCCCTGATCAGAGGGACCCTGGAATATAATATGGAAGGAAAAATGTTTCATTTGACGTGTTCAGGACCCTTAGAAGTGTGCCCTCAGCTGACATTGTGGGCTCAGAAATTCAGCCTCTGAGAGGGACAGGAGAAGGTTGGACCCATGTACACAGTGAACATCACCACAGGGCCTCTACCAATCATGTCACCTTCCAAATCCTGCTAAGGGAGTGGGCGTGCCACCTCAGCCAAAGCTGACTCCTTGGGCTCTTTCCCCAATAAATAAATAGGCCTTTTTGGAAGAAATACAGTCAACTTCTTGATATTTCCCAGCTGTGAGTCACATATGGGGCAGCAAAAATGACATTGTAATCCTTGTGCTAAGCCTCAAAGGCTCACTCCCACAAAAACCACAAAGGGGGCAGGACAACTGGAGACACTACTTTTTTTCCAGAAGCAGTCAACTTTGGGGGTTTCTGGCTGAACTTACAGAATGTGTCAGAAAATAATAGCTATTATTATAATTGTTATAGTGATTGTAAGAACAGCTGTCATTTGACTCTTAATTGTGGATGTTACATATCATCGAGTTTATTGAACTTTCACACACACACACACACACACACACACACACACAAATACCCTAGGTAAGAGTCTTTATTTTAAACCCATTTAACAGACAAAGAAGCACAAATTCAGAATCTCAAAGAGACTAGTCAAGAATACATAGCCAGGAAATAGCTGACATGGAAAATGAGCCCAATTTTGTCTCTTTCTCAGATTCATGCTGTGAGCCACTGTAATTTTATGGTCAGCAGGAGAAATGGGAAATGAGGATCATACTTACTACCTAAGCAAAAAATGATGACCAGAAACAACGTATCCAGGAAAACACCATTTATACCCAGATATGTCTGAAAACCAGTGAGGTTGCTGCCTTTGTCTCTAGCAGATCTGGGTCTAAAACTAAAAATCTCTTGTCTGGCATTTCTAGAAAGTCTGAATTCTAGGAAGAAACATGCAAAGAAGGTCCCCATGATATGCATGTGTACAAAAGTATACAAAAGAGGATGGCTGAACAACATATAGTACTATCTCAAAATAGGCCACAGAAAAGGCAGAAATCAAATGTAGCAAGAGGATAGAGGTTAGTCCTCTTAGAGCATGTAAACCTTAAAAGCAACTTCAAATAACAAAAGAATTATTTTTTATACCCCACTCACTCACCAATGAATTTGATTTTCTTTGGGTGTAGAAACAGGGTCTCTTATTTATCTCTGCAACCTTAGTGTCTAACAAGAGCTTGACACACAGTAGGCATTTAATGCCTTTTTGTTGAAAGACAATAACTGAATGGGTAGACAAGGACAGGCAGAATGAAGAGGCTGACATACTGTAGTGGTGGAAAACATAAGCTTTGGAGCAGATCGTCCTGGGTTTTAGTCATGGCTGCCATGCACCAGATATATAAGCAAATTACTAATGCCTCACTCTGCCTCAGTTCCCTCACTCCAGAATGGAGACAAAAAAAAAATACAGACTTTAGAAAAAAATGACTGGAAGTTAGGAACTGGTGGCTCATGCCTGGAATCCTATCTACTCAGGAATCAGAGATCAGGAGAACTGTGGTTCAAATTCAGCCTGGGAAAATAGTTTGCAAGTCCCTATCTTGAAAATACCCAACACAAAAAAGGGCTGGTGGAGTGGCTCAAGTGGTAGAGTGCCTGCCTACCAAGCATGAAGCCCCAAGTTCAAACTCTGGTACTGCCGGAAAAAAAAAAAAAAGATTGAAAGAATCCAAGGACATGGGAGCAGAAAGCTGAGTACATGCTATGGGTTGCAGGGATAAGATCTGTGTTCACTACCAGGGGAACCTCTGGTCTGGGGAACAGACAAAGAACATCATAATACCTTGCATCTTAGTCCTACCTAGGCTGATTATGCTCAAAACAGCGTGGACAGTGGTCCAGAGTGAGATGACCATGCTGGGGCCAGGTCCGTGGTTGCAGGTACCACGCCCAGGAAAGTCAGAGGCAGAGGTGGCACGGCCATCGCACTGGGAGCACCGTTCTGCTGCCAGACCCTGATTTCAGGGGTAGCACCTCCCCAGACATGTTCAAAGGAAGTCACTGAGGGGGTGAATGACAATGAAAGCACAGCCCACGAGGAACAGCCAAAAGGACCAGTCCTGCTTAGACTCCAAGACTAAGGGAGGGAACAGCCCCCATTCTGCAGAGTCCCAGGAGGGCTAGCTGGAGCTAACAAAGAAGTTCCGGGCAAGACGATTTCAGTGGGATTTGAGTTTCAGAAAGGCTGCTGTATTTGCTTAAGTCACGCTATGGTACAGGTGAACAGCGGAACAAGCTACCAAATCCAGAACTGGATGTAAGTCCAATGGGGTGTCTGTCTCTCCACCTTTCAGGTATACAGGTGGATGCATGGGAGGATAGAATATATGCTGAAACTGCCTTGCTCTCACTTCCACCCAACCTGCTTTTAAAGAAAGCCTATGTTGTGCAATTGTCTGCTTTCTGGCTTTGAGTGCTTTTGCAGGACTGAAAGAAGCAGCTGGAATTGAAAGGCTTTTCTACCATGTGTAAAACCCTAAGCCCAGTGTACAGAAAACGCAGGGGAGAGGGATGTTTAAGAGTCAAGGGCTTTAAGGGAGACTTCCCTGTGGGCTGGGGAAACTGGGGTATCAGATGTTACACCCAGAGCAAATGGGAAGACATGTTCCCAGAAGGGATGGTAGTGTGGGGCCCTGAGAAGTCAAGAAGGTGCACATCCTATAGGGACCTGGAAGGTGTGAGCTCTCAGCTTCAGGGTTGTGAGGGCTCTGGGAGGATTGTCATGTTCAGGCTGTCGAGTACAACTAGGACACTAAAAATCTAGTCCCTGCTTTGTTAGCTATAAGCTTCCTGGGTACTGGGTCACTCAGGATGGACAAAGGTCCTCAATCATGACCAAGATAGGATTTTTCTGTTCAATGACTCAGATGAGGCTTCAGAGCAAAAAATGAAGCAGATTTAAAGGAAATTAAATTCTTTGCAAATCTGTGTTCGGAAACTGGAGCTTCATACAATAGCAAGAATACAGGCACTGCATACCACACAAAACAGCCATGCAAACACTGCTCTTCCCAACCCAGCCCCCCACTCAGAGCCTGGAAGTCTTGGGATCTTCCAGCTGTGGTGTGCCTCCAGCCTCCAGTTGTCTCCATCTTACTTCCTGCCTTACCTGGGCAGTAGGTGCTTGCGGCTGACACACAGGGCTGTCTGGTAGTCCTGGGTCACACACACCTTGTGAGGGCTGCATTTCACCTTCAGGCAGGGGTCCTTGGATGGGTCCAGGGCTAAAGCAAAAGCAACAAAAAGAGGTGAGGTTAGGACCTCCAGACAAATGCAATTTCTATTGCTACTCAGATACCCTCAGCGAGGTTCATGGGAATTAGAATGAAAACTCAAGCCAGGGAGAGTTCTGTCCATCACTCACAATCTTCTTCAAATCAGAACAGTGAGTCCTTTGTATGTTGGTTGCTTCAGCATCTTCATTTCAAGCAAGGACTACTTGAAAAAATCCTTTAGAATCTTACGTGATCCAAGGACCAAGAGTTACCAAGAACTTACCTCTTTGGTTATTTATCTGGTGTCACTTTTTATGAATTCATCTGTGTTCCATTTTACTTATTTCTTATCACATAAGAAGCCCTTAAGGATGAGGGGTTTTTTGGCTTCAGTTCAATAAGTATCATCTGTGTGCATAAATAGCCTATTTTAAGGTTTTGGAAAACTTCAGGATATGTAAACAGTTTTGTGCCACACAGTTACAGTGTAATAGGGGGAAGAAAAAAGCTTATACATAAATATTTATTGTACAAGGCAGAATTGGATAAGGGCCACGATGGGCATATAAAATGATAACAGGGTTCCAGAGACAAATAGATATCAATTTCTAGGGCAAGGATTAGTGAAGCATTAATATGTGAATTGGATCTTCAAGGGTGCATAGGGAGTTGAAAAGAAAAGGAGGAAAGGGCAAGCCAGGCTAGAAGAGAAGCTCAAGCAAGTAGAGGGGAACATGTTTGGGCAATCATGAGAAATTCAATCTGACTATCAACTGTGCTTTGTGGATGGGAATAATGAGAGGGGAGAAAAGTTGATCCAAACAAGCAACTCCAGAAAGGTCCCCAAAGACAGTGGTTCACACACTGCAACATTTTCTAGAATAAGTCAAGCAGCAGGCCCCTGGCTAATCAGCACTCTACATGCTGAGGTCACATGCTCATCATGGGCACAGAAGAGGCCCCAGGGAGTTCTCTGCAAAACAAAAGCAATTGTGCCATCTCCCAGCTCCAGGCAGAAGGCCTATTTGGTGGTAAATCTTTCATAACTGCTCCCCACAGCCCGGGGAAGGAACAGTTCCTTATGTCCTACCCACCCAAACATTTGGTTAAACAAATTGACATTCCAAACAGGGACAGCAGAACTGCTCTAAGAAGTGCCATGGTCCACTCCACTGTTGGAGTCACGATTCCTCTCTTTCACACAGGCCCAGAATTTGAATACCTTTTTCTTCAGATGGCTGCTGGGAATTTTTCAAGGATCCTGAACACACAATATACAAAGGCATGTGTGTTACATGAACAACTTAGAGTGGCTCCTCCCTATAGCCAGGATAGCAGATGTGAACAGGAAGCAGGGCACATCCTTAGGTCAGCATCAAGCTTCAAGACCCTGGTTTAACAAGACCCTGGTCCAACAAGAATCTTGGGCAGAGCCTACTTTCCAAGGGACATATGCTAATGTCTGGAGTGTAGCAGAGAGAAACAGGCTCCAATAAGAGAGAGGCTGATTGGAGCCCCAGGGACAGAGTATTTACTCCCAGCCCTTAAATTGAAGGCTGCTTCTGAGAGGCAAGTGGTAGAGTGAGTTGGGTCTTCTCTCAGAGTCTTCTGAGGCTGGAGCTCCCAGAAATTTGCAGCCAGAGCTTCCTGGTCCCATGTGGCATGCTCTCAGTTCCTGGGAATGCCTGTATGAGAAGCCAGGAGGCTGGTGCAATTTCAGCCAGTGGACTTCTCCTTGTGCATGGCACCCTAGCCACCCTCAGGCTATAGCCTAACCAATTTTGACATGCTTTCCAAAATGAAGTCAACCATCAAGAAGGATTACCAGATGACCACTAACAGATGCCAGCCCCTTGTCGCCCCTTCTCATACTTCCAGGCACCACTTATGGTTCTTAGAAAACCTATGGACTGGACCACTGGCACCCCTGCCACAGTGACCAGCTGAAGCACTTCCCCCAATAGGTGCCCAGGGTTTCAGAGACCTTAGGATTTCCATTTGAGTGGGTCTAAGAGGTGGCAAAGAGTAAGTAGGCTGGCTCCAGTGGTGGGTGTGGAAATCTACAATACTACATGACAAGCTTTAGGATAGATTTTGAATCCCCTTTGCTTTATAGACAACTTCATAAATGTCCACACTGCCAGCCAGTTGGCCTGAATAATGGTGCAACCACAAGGCAGTAAGTCAACTGTGCATGGGGCAAGGAGCACAAACTCCAGCGCTGGGGCTTCTGGGACTGAACCCTGCTGCTTACTAACCTTTTTATACCTCCCTTTCCTCTTCTGCAAGATGGGGACAATGACAGTCCCTACTGCTTGTTAGTTACATTCAATGAGTCAATATTTGTAAGTGCTAGGGACAGACCTAGTACATGTGAAGCACCTCCTATGTGTTTGTTAGGTTTTCTGGGCTTGTGCTTTGTTCTGAGAGAGAACAATAAACCTTCATAATCACAAGAACAATAGTTAGCATTCACTGAGTGCTTCTGACATGCAGGCAGTGAACTAAGCCCTCTAACTGGATTACCTCACTTAATCCTCACAAGCATCCAAGGAGGAGCTGCTACTAATGTGCTCACTTTACAAACACAGGTCTTAAAGAGACACTGCAGGGCAGAAAGCAGTGCAAACCTGCTCTGTGAGCACAAATTCCTCATTATATGCCACCAGCTGATTTAAAAAGTTGATTGAGGTGTCCAACCCCTGTCCAAGTATAGAGTTCAGATGGCACCCTTTTCTAGGTAAATTCAGGGCAGAAGGAGTCTTAATGGTTAAGGTGGTCAGTCAGAGGACCCAGTGCTGCAAGGCTAGGGCAACCCACCCTATCAGTGCACCTCCCAGGACTGGGTCAGTGGCCCAGTCCCTTCTCCCCTGCAGGGTGAGTGCCCCATCCTGAACAACTACACCATTTGTCTCCTTCTCTGGATGCAGCTGGGTCACCTGGTCCATGGTCTGGCCAATTCTGTTTCTGCTATCTTGACATTTGCCATCGTATCATTTTCCAATCCTGGAAACTAACGGTTCTTAACAAACAAACAAGAAAATCTCCATGCAAAACTACTAATTTTCAAAAACCATCAACTCAACTCTATACATATACTTAACAACTTGCATACAGAAATCAAGTTTGTAAAATTAATTACTAGGGTCTGAATACTTCAAACATGCATGCAAATTATTTAGAGTAAATGAACTTCACAGAACAACAAAATAGTAACAAATCAAGCTGTCAACGTTTGTTTAATCACAAGGATATGTTTTGTTTTTGAAAAATAGCAACACTGGGATTGAAAGGATATGAGAGGTGTGTCATTTCCATATGTAGGGCTCCCACTGTATGCTTTGCTTAGCAGCCATAAGGCTCCCAGGTGACTCTCCTAAAAGGCCCCAAGCCATGGCACTAGACAGACCTGGTTAGCTCCACTTTCTGAAGGAAAAGACATTAAGAGATCAGAATAATAAGTAGCATTTGAGAAGCCCTTTCACAAGGTGGGGAAGCAGCCCAGGTAGGAAGGCAGGAAGAAAGAGCTGTGTATAGGTGAAAGCCCTGAGCAACTGTCATGGTACTGAGGATTTCTTGGATTCGGTGGTCCAAGATTTAATCTCCTTCTACACATGCTTGGTGATAGGATGCAGTAATTTCTAGAAGATGACAAAGTCCAGTGTTCCCTCTGCCACTTGTGTCACCAAACCTGCAGGGTCCATGTGGACCTAAACAGTATAATGTGGTCCACTGAGGCAGTCCAGGTACCCATGGAAGGTTAATTTCATCTTTCCTAACTGTCTTTCCACAGAGACCAGTCAAAGGTCAGCTGCCATGGGACACAAGTCCCATTTATTATTTCAAAATAATTCTTATCAAAGAAAAAATTTTCTCAAAGGAAAAAAAAACAAGAAAGAATTAGAGATTTTTTGAGCTGCAGATCATCGAATTCAAAAGCCAGTTAATTACGGGCTCTGTGTAGTTTTTTTTTTTTTTAATTAATTTTATTTTTTTGAGCTCACTACTTGGTCTCAATTAAGGTTGTGATATTTTAATTATCTTAATTGTTTCTGAACTTGTTTTTCAGTTCAATGAGTTATTTTTTAATTAGCTACATTGGTTTTAAAATCTGGAAGCAAGACTTTCTCTGTCTTTGAGCACATCCTATCGGCTAATTGGCAAAAGGGTCATGACACCTCCAACAACCAAACTCCCTGCCATCTCAAAGATGCTGAGATGAGAAGTAGGTTCCATTTTATGGGTGCCCCAAAGGGTCCCTCAGTCACCTGGAGAATCACACAAGCTTGTGTTTACTCAATAGACATTTATAGAGTACCACTCTGGGTGAGGCATCTCTTTTGCAGGCTGGAGGCAAGTAGTGAGCAAGACGTCTGTTCTGGTTTCCAGGGGCTCACAACTGAATAGAAGACACAGATGAGGTACCTAACCCAGCCTTTCAAGGGGTCGGTGAGACTTCCTGGAGATGCTGACATATGTCAGTCCAGGAAAAGCAGGCTTAAAACAAGCAATAGGATGAGGCAGAACATCCTGGGGGAAAAGGAAGCTCCCTTTCCAAAGGTAAGAGACATTTGGTAGGTTTGGAACTAAAGTGTTTCCTCAGGCTGGAAACAGGTTAGAAATGGGGTGGTATGTGATATGGCTGGTGATGTGACTGAGCTTGGTCACAGAGGGCTTTGAAATGACAATGAGCCATGGTCTTCAAGTTCCAGAGTGACTTCAAACATGGTAGAACCTGTTGACCTTTGGCACATCCTCCCATTCCAAAAGTGGGGGAGAGGGGCAGGATGAGGGAGCCCTGTATATGGGTTATGTAGAAATGACACTTTGATCAAAGAACAGGCATACTGCACATGATCACTTTCCAACAGGGATGGAGGACCTGTGGTCAGCTCTTAGAGCCCACTTTCCTCCTTCCAGAAACTTCTTTATTCCCTCTCACCAGGAACAATAAGTCATCCGGGATTGTAGAAATCAACAAGCCTACACTCTCAGACCAGTAGGCAAAA